CTCTCTCTCTCTCCCCCCCCCCAGTGTTTCATCAGCCTGTGCACTGCCCCACCTTGCTCCTCACTCATCCATGTCATCTCATGCTTGCCTATTTTTAAAAAAAACAAAACAAAAACAAAAAAACAAAAAACGGGGTGGGGAATAGTGGTATCCCTGTAATCCAATACTTGACAGAGGCAGGAGGATCAGGAGTTAAAGTCATCCTGGCTATATAATGAGTTTGAGGCCAGTCTGGGCTACATGAGACCCTGTCTCAAAACAAAGAAATAACCTGGAGAATTTTAAACAAACTAATCCTTCATGAAAGCAAGGCTTTCATTCTATCCTCTTGTGTCTTCTGTAACTGTCCCCACCCCTGCCCTCTCTCTCCTCCCCATCTCTCTTTCTCCCTCTCCATGTCTGGCCTCATCAGGACTTCCTGGACCACTGCCTTCCATAGCCCACCACACCCTCATTGTCCTTCCTCATCTTCACAGGGCTGTCTGGGCCCCATCTGCTCTGTCCTTCTCAAGTACTGTTTATTGTAACTGTCACCACTCTTGTCCCTTCCTAACTACTTATTTAGTGTTTTTTCTCCAAAGCTTCTGTTTAGCACTTCATACACTGAGGAGAGCTGTATTCCCCACCAGCCTCAGCAGCTACACTTTTACACAAACATACAGCTGTTCAGATCACCAAAAGTGATCTCCTGTCCTGCTAAATGATTTGTGTGTCATGTTTTGGGGAAATGCTGCTTTTATCTAGAATACAGCCTTGCTACTTGGCCATCAGCTGCCTCCCCGCTGTTCCAGCACCAGACAGGGCTGTCTGCTTCGCTGTTGTCTTGCCCTCTGCCTTTCAGGACAGATGTCCACTCAATTGCTTCACCGGCCTTGTGTTCCATCTCTGGCATCCCGTTGCCCCCTCCCACCCATATTCATCATCCTCCCAGGATTTCTGAGGCACCTTGTTTGGCCCTGTGACTTTTGACCTGCTTATGACCCAACTCCAAAAGTGTATCTTAAGTCTGTCTCCTCTGACCTTCTGAGCCTCACTGTCCAATGGAATGGAGAAGAAAAGCTCCTGCCACACGGAGTACTGTTTCCTGGAGCAGGGGCTGCTGGAGCTTAGCCCTCCTGCTAGCCATCCCTTTGCTCTGCTCTTCCCTCCAGGACCCTAAGCCTTTGCCGTATCTCTGTCACAACCAGCCCTACACATTCGATATCAACCTGTCTGTTGCCCTGAAAGGTATGTTGCGGAGTGGATGGTGGTGCCCAGGTCATGGATCCCAGCTTTGGCTGGGTGGCATGGGAGACATCTGCTCCAACTCTGAGGCCGTATGGGGCTCTTGTAAAGAAAAGAGGAGTGTGGGGGCCATCCTCCAATTCAGAGGCCGTACCCTGCACTGGAGCCAGGACCTCCATCCTGGCCTTGGCTCTGTTCCTGGCCTTCCAGCCAGGATTTGCTGAGTGCACTGGCACCCCACCTTCCACCGCACCTCAGTGTGTGGCACATTTCATCAAGTGACTGTTTGAAAACCCGATCTCATGGCCCTTGAGATGTGAGAAGCAAGCCCCTGAGCTGCATCCTGGGCAACCCTGAGAGCCATGTGATGCAACCTGTGTACCCTGAGCTGCTATGCAGGCAACAGAATAAATCTGCTGAGCTGCAGTGTGAGGGGACTGGTTCTGTCGGCCATGGTTAGAGGTCTAGTCTTGGTTTTATACTATGATGGTGATGCCTAAGGAAGCTGATTCATAGAAAGATCTAACACAGAACCTGTTGCTAGGAAGGGGCATGTGTTATCTGCATGCCCTGTGGGAACCTGGAGGTAGGAGAGAGCTTGCCTGGAGGCCCTGCCTACCCAGCTACACTCTGGCCAGCTTCCTTTCCCCTCAGTTTCCCTCCTTGGGTCCTCTGATCACATACAGGCTCTGCTGTGTCCTCAGCCAGTTCCCTGGCTTCAGCCTTCATGGAGTGGCAGTAAACTCAGTGCCTTAAGGAACAAGGAGCAGGATGCTCCATAGTGGAAAGACCTTGTAACCACAATGGTTCCCTCTGAGAAATTGCTGGTCCCACTCTTTGATGTTTCAGGTTAGGAAACTGAGGCTCAGAGAAGGATTCACACTGAGTTGCTGAACTGGCTAGAGTCAGACTGGGACTAAATGCCAAGGTTGAAAATTCTATTGTGTGCCACCACTCACAATACATCCTTGGAGTGCCTCCCCATCCTGCCCTCCTTATGGGCGTTTCTCTCTGTGTCCGTGAAGGGCATTACTGAGGAAGGACCTAATGGGAGTCAAAGTTCAGAATCCCAAGGCACTGTAATAAAGTCTTGGCTTTGAGGTTCCAAGCTGGGATTGGGATGACAGGGTTGGGAAGCAGCAATGATGGCACCCCGCCCCCCGCCAGCCTCCCATGGGGCTGCAGAGAACACCTTCTGCTGCAGAGGGACAGGATAGCAAGCACCACGGGAAGAGCCAAGTTTTAAGGGTGGAAGCACTTTCTAGCAGTTTTTACTGTTTAGAAACATGACAGTGTTAGCCAAGCCCTTGCATGGAGTAGGTGCTTAGAAAATCCTGCTGGCATTAGTGATGAGTGCTACACTCCCTGCCATTGAAGAAGTTCGGAGCTAGCTACCCAGAGGGCTGGAGGGTAGCAGGCTGTGCTTGATCAAGTTCACATGTAGGTTTCAGCCTGTACTGTCTTCAGTGACCTGGTAACTATTGGGAATATTGGGGTAAGAGGGATCCTGAAGCTATGTATAGCCCCAATCAGTGCTGCCCAATGTGGTGGGAGAAACGGGGGAAGAAAGGGATGTCCAGGTGGACACATTTTCCCTCGCTGGACTAGATTGTCTTTAGTGGATAACTCCTAGCTCTGATCCCTCTGGATTTACTGTTCCACAGAGTAAGTGAAATCATATTGTCAGTAGGAAGCAGTTGAAAAGTTTCCTCCCCAATCAGTAAAACTAAATCTTCAAAAGCATTGCTTCTCTATTTCTGACAGGAGAAGGAATGAGCCAGGCAGCTACCATCTGCAAGTCCAACTTTAAGGTGAGCTCGGAGGCCATCAGACTGCTTTGTGGACGGGCAAGAGGGGGCAGACAGCAAGAACAGGAGAATAGCATCCATTTGAGGGTGAGATGATTGGTCAACCTGAGAATCTAGTGTCTTTGTATCATGTGAGGGCCAAGTCTGTGACTCCCCTGTCCTGCCAGAGCTGGATTAATGATAACTCTTTTGTGTGTGTGTGTGTGTGTGTGTGTGTGTGTGTGTGTGTGTGTGTTTATCTGCCTGCATGGGGAGGCTTGAGATGACAATGGGTGTCTTCCTCCATTGCTGTCCACCTTATTTTTGAGCCAGGATCTCTAACTGAACTTGAAACTCATTGATTAGGCCAGGCTTGACCAACAAGCCCCTGTCTCTGCCTCCCCAGTGCTGGGATTACAGGTGCATACTGCAGACAGTTTTTTACATGAGTGTGGAGCCTCAGATGAACTCGGGGCCTCATGTTTGTGCAGCAAACACTTCACTGACTGAGCCATCTCTGCAGTCCACTTCCTTATTTTAAATAAGCTTTAAAAAAGAATTCATGTTATTATTTTAAAAGATTATATGTATATGTGTGTGGGGGAGGGGGTATGTGCATGTAGAATGCAGGTGCCCTTGGAGTCCAGAAGAGAGTGTTGGATCCACCAGAGCTGGAGTGAACCCAACTCAGGTCCTCTGGAAATGCAGTGCACACTCCTAACCACTAGGCCATCTCTCCAGGCCCTTGAGCAAAAATTTAATGGAAACATAGCACATATATGTACAAATGTAGTAGAAACGCCCAAATTATAAGTGTAGAGACTGAGGAATTTCTTTTTTTTTAATTTCCTTTTTATTTTTATTTTTATTTTTTGTCTTTTTGAGACAGGGTCTCCCTGCAGTCTTAGCTGGCCTGGTACTCACTGTGTAGACCAAGCTGATCATAATCTCATAGAGATCCACCTGCATCTCCCCAACAACCCCCCACCTCGCCGTACTGGGATTAAAGGCATGCACCATCATGCCTAGCTGAGACTAAGGAATTCTCATAAAGCAGGTATCCCTGTGCATCCAGCACCCACATTAGAAATGGGAAGTGTCTGGCCTCAGGCAGCCCACTGCCCCATCCGATCATACCATCACTTCCTTCGTGTAGGCCATCTCTACGGGCTTTGTCTAGTTTGCATTTGGTATACATCCTGGATTAGAATTCCTGGGTCATTGTGTGTGTGTGTGTGTGTGTGTGTGTGTGTGTGTGTGTGTGTGTGTGTGTGTGTGTCTGTCTGTCCGTCCATCTGTCTGTGTGACATATTTATATACATATATACATAAATATGTGTATATACATACACACATCCAAGCAGTGTGTATCATACACACACACATACTCTTAGCCTAGGAGTACTTTTGAACAGTTTTTCAAGGTATTTACACTAATGGACTGTGTTGGTTGCTTTACTGTTGCTGTCAGAAAATACCCTGACAAAAGCAACCCAAGGAAAAGTTTAATTCTGCTCACAGCCTGAAGCTACAGTCCATGACATGGAAGTGACAGCAGCAAGAGCTTGGGGCAGCTGATGGCATTTTGTCCACAGTCAAGGAAGAAGAGAACAACAAATCCCAGTGCTCATTTCCACTCTCCTTTTTATTCTGTCCAGGAGACTGCATGAAATGTTGCCATCCACATTCAGAGAGGGACTTTCTACCTCAGTGGAGCTAACCAAGAAAATCCCTTTATAGGCATGCCCACAGGCCAACCTGACCTAGACAGTCCCTCTCAGAAGCTCCTTTCCTAGGTAATCTAGATGACATCAAGTTGACTAACTATCACACAGCCACTCCTACTGGTGACGGCCAAGCACTTTGCTCCTCCAATATGGACAACATGTGGCACTGTTAACTTTTCATCTCGGCCATTCAGGGGATTGCAGTTTTAGTTTTATTTCCGTAATGGCTGACACAGCTGAACACGTCTTCATGTGTTCCTTGAAGGCCCTATGAATGAATACATGTCTGTTTTGTCTAGCTTCCCTTTCAGTTTAACCTAGTTAAAAGAAGTAAGGTGCTCTTGGGGGCACCCAGGGAAAAATTCACTTCTGAGGATCCTTTGCCTGCCTGCATAGCTATAGGAGGCACATCCAGGAAGCAATGTCTTCATAGAGGTGTGAGCATGAGTTGCCTGAGTATTTCAGTCATGGGGGCCTTGACCCTCTCACCACTCCTCTCATTCCCAGCCTGCCCTGACATCCTCCTTAAACCATTCAGCTCCAGGGCTGATACCAGCTCCCAGGCCTGGCTTGGAGGGAAGGCTATCAGTTAGGCTTCTGTGCTATGAGGACAGCACACAGGAAAGGACTCGGCACTCTCAGATTGAGGTGGTCGCTGGTACAGGGGCCTGGGGCAGGCAGAGGGAGTGAGCAGGGGCCAGCTTTCAGACTTCTTGGGAAAGAATCGGAGAGATGAGGTTGCAGAGGAGCTGAGATTAGGGCTGATAGATAAGATGGGGCAGCATCTCTGCAGGTAGATGACAAGCTATTTGTATAGGGACTACAGGGAGGTAAGTTGAAACAACACAGGCACAAATACACAAATTATGAGTGTTCATGGAACATGGAGGGGAGGGCAGGGAAGGTGTTGGAAGCAGGATGACCATGCCCACTGTGTCCCTGCCCTCAGCACATGTACTGGACCATTCTGCAGCAGCTCACACACCACTCTGTCAATGGCTGCAACCTGAGGCCTGGGGACCTCTTGGCTTCTGGAACCATCAGTGGATCGGTGAGTCCCAGATTGTGTCAAGAGCTGCCCACATGGAGTGCCGAAGCTGAAGGTGGGCAGGTTGAGCAGTTCTGGAGTCAGAGAACGTTCCTACCACATGCAGACCACCTGTGTGAGGACAAGGCCCCTGCTTTCTGTCTCTCTAGAAAACAGAAGTCACCCTATCCCTCTGTTCCTTCCCAGGATGAGGTAGCCTCATGGCTGTACCCTTCTCACCTTCCCCAAAGCCACCATGAGCCTGGGGTGAGGTATACAACTTCAAGATGATGATGTGGGGTGCTGGATATTTTATTCTCACTCTGTAAGGTCCTGGCCATGCTGGCTGGGAGGTGACAGTCTCTACCCAGTGGGGAGTGTTGGGTATGACAGTTTAGGGTTGTGAGCTACAGGCTATAGAGTGAAAGTGCACTGAAGCAGGCTCCTGGACACACTGTAGGCACAGGATTCTGAACAGGGGAAGAGGAAGACACAGCCTGATGGGTCCCCAGGGCATTTCCACAGTGGCCTTCAGAGTTTTAGGGATCCCCAGGTCTCACTGCACTGTCCATACCAGAGCTGATGCATCACCAAGATATAAATATACATCACTCTTCCCCCTTTTACAAAGGATCCTGGAAGCTTTGGCTCCATGCTGGAACTGTCCTGGAGGGGAACAAAGGCCATCGAGCTGGGGCAGGGGCAAACCAGGACCTTCTTACTGGATGGAGATGAAGTCATCATAACAGGTGAGGACTGCCAAGCCCCACAGGTCAAAAGTGCCCACCTGGCCATGGAGCCAGCATCTCCCTCACACTTATCGGAATTCCTGGATTCTTTGTCTGCATGGTATATCCTGGGCTCCTTGGAACATCATGGTTAGTGTCTACACAGGAAAGACTGAGATCTGTTTCACATCCCTTTTTTCCCAGCAGTGACCCAGTAATGGTGGTGCCCTTGCTTTCTGGACTGTGTGCCAAACCATGGGCAGAGTCTGACCTGGGAGTCTGGTCAGGGAAGGTATGGCTAGGATAATGCCAGAGGCTTTTCAGCCGCCCCTTTCCAAAAGACTGGGGGCCTCGTATCTTTGGGGGTCATTCTGCCCGACACATATTAATGGCAACAAAGCTTACTTCCCAGCACTGCTATAGGATTATGCCAACAATTTTGCCCTTGGTGCCTGGCTGAGTCCTGTGGAAAGCATCCTGATGTTCTAGTGATAAGGGCACTGGCTCACACTGGAGCATCACACTTGTACAGGTGACACAGTGAAAGAACCAATTGTAGATGGAAAGTAATTTCTAACAAGTTGTGTCTGTACTGAACATGTCCAGACATTTTCCTGTCATTATTCCTAAGCCATACAGTGTTAACTATTGACCTGTCATTTATGTTGTATTAGGCATTGTAAGTCACCCCTAGATGATTGAAGCGAAGGGAGGATATATACAAATATATGCAAATAATGTACCCCTTGGTAACCTCAGTGGCTTGAGCTGCCACAGTTTTGCTGGGGGTTCCCTGGAGATCCTGAGGGTGAACTGTATTTACTGAATGTCTGCAGGGCCCAGCTGTGTTGACGGTATGTCTACTTCCATGATTTCATTTTATATTCTCCTCTGCCTTTTGGAAATGTGTCATTGCCCCAATTTTACGGAGTAGAAAACCTAGGTCGATAGAAGCGAGCTGACTCATGGCAGGTCACACAGCTGGGAAAGTCAGGATGCAGTTCCCCATGGGAGCAAATGCTCCAACTACCTTTATGCCAGTTTTGTGTCTGGTGTTTCTTCTGTGCCTGCCAGCCAATCCTACACGCTGGCTGTGGCCCTATGGATTGAGTGAAAGAGCTTTCTGGAGTGTTTGGTGTGGGAGAGAGGGAAGAAGGGCAAGAGAGAAGCAGAGGGAGTGGCATCTCTACTGTCACTATAGCAGGGTCTGAATAAGCCTCCTCTAGTAATACAGTCTTGTCTAGGCAGCTGTCAGGCCTGGAAGAAAGGAGTCTGGGGTGGAAGCAGATGGCCCCATGGTGTCCTTGACATTTATACCTCAGAGGGCAGAGAGAGTCTTTGCCGTTATGTGTTTGTGAAAAGCAGGATCCACAGGCACCCTGGCCTATCCTTCCATGGCCCTGTATATACTGTCTTCCAGCTTAACAGCTACCCTAGGTGTCTTGGACTCTGTCCTGTTTGCTTTCCCCTGACTTCTCTGTAACTAACCAGGTGTCTGGCTTCATGGAGCCCCCCCTTTTTTTGGTCTTTTTGAGACAGGGTCTCCCCGTAGCCTCAGCTATCCTAGAACTCACTGTGTAGACCAGGCTGGCTTCGAACTCACAAAGATCTGCCTGCCTCTGCCTCCCAAGTGCTGGGATTACAGGCATGTGCCACCACACCCGGCCTCATGGAGCCCTTTTTAACTGCCTTCTCAGGGTGCCACCCCCAACAGCCTCACTGAGCAGAGCCAACCAATGCATGTCACATCTCTTTAGTGAGCTCCTTCTTACTCATCAAAGTTCAGCTCACATGTTCCTTCTTTCTGCACCCTGATGCTGCTCTATCAGTACCCTGGAGGATCCAACCTCCATCTCTTATCTGGATCTGCTGTTCCATTAACAGGCCCCTCCTCTGGGACTGGAACAGGCTTCTCCCCTTTGCCTTAGTGTCACTCTTGTTGAGATAGAATCAAGTGAATGAAGCCATAGTTGAGGAACTTTCTGTAGTAGCTTCTTTATCTTGAATGTTACCCAAGTGTTGCACCTGACTATTGCAGTCATAGAAGATGAGAACTGCCATCCCCTATAACATAGAAGGCTGAGTTCTGAGGGAACATATTACCCCATCACTCAGCTCAACAATCATAACTATTGACACTTTGAGGGCCTTTACCATGGGCCAGGACCTGTCCTTAGAGTTTGTTACTTATGAATCCACATGATCCTTGCAGCAGGCCTGTGTAATACAGTTGTCATTAGACCCATTTACAGATGTGGAATTTGAGGTCTCAAAGGATGGGAGGTGACAGAGCCTATGGATGGAGGAGACACCTTGAACTCAGGGAGTCTGGCCTCAGGTTCATTTGCAGACCTAGGACTTGAACCTAGACCCATTGGGGAGCTGAGCTCACTTGGGAAGGCTGTGGAGCATGCCAATGATGCTGGGGATTCCTGAATGTGGGACATGCCTGGGGCTCCAGTTCAAGTGCTCCTAGGAGGCTCACACATATGTTATGCTGATGTGCCTGCCTGCCTCAGGCCCAGTTCCAGGCCTGTGCTACCTGGCTCTGCAGCCACATGCGGCTGGCTTCACGGAGACCCTGGCTCTGTGACTGACCCTGGTTCCTCTGTTCCAGGTTACTGCCAGGGGGATGGCTACCATATTGGTTTTGGCCAATGTGCTGGGAAAGTACTGCCAGCCCTCTCGCCAGCCTGAGACTCCAGAAACCGTGGACCAGAGCCTCGCCTGCTGGTGACCATGCTGCATCTGCCCCTCATTCATGAGTGAATAAAGCCACCGTACTCGTGGGGAATGCAGCAGATTCCCCCAGTCTTTGATTCTGTCCAGCTGGTCAGTGTGTGCTGTTCTTGTGGAGATTAGCTAATCTCTTTCAAGAGTGAGGCTGAAGGTCATGGTGAAATTCGTTACCAGTGCTCAGTACTCCCTGGAATGTGGGAAGAGGATGCCCCCTGGAGTATTTTGGGTTCCCTACAGAGATACAACCATGGTATGTGTTTGTGTGTGTGTTTGTGTGTGTGTGTGTGTGTGTGTGTGTGTGTGTGTAGTTGAAGGGAGGGGGAGAGAAAATAAGAGAAAAACTCGTGATTCTAGAGACTTCAAGTTGAAAATCTGCAGTGTAGGTTACCTGGCAAGACCCTCTTTTCCCTTGTGGCTGTCACCATGGTACCATTTCCTAGATTCACACCTGAGCTGGGGACAGGATGCACAAGAGGCCTGGGGCTCACTTGTCCCCCTTCATACCTGTCAGAGTCCAGAAGCAACATTGCCTGGGGTCTTTTGCCCCCACTGTACATGGTAGCCCTGGCCTGGATTCTGGGTGACCACAGGGGACCAAGGTACCCATGACCCTTCTTGGGCCAGGTGAATGAGAGTGCAGGCCTGTTCATTAATCATGCCGTTCATTCATTTATTCATTCGTGTTTTATGAGAGCCTTCTGTATATAAGGCACTATTCTGGATGAGAGGCACAACCCAAGCTCTTCCATTAGTGGAGGGAGACAATAGCTGTCCGTAACTCCAATTCCAGGGGATCCAACAGCCTCTTCTGTCCTCCATGGGCATTGCATGACACAGGTGCACTTGCCTACATGCAGGCAATACATGCATACACATAAAAAATAAAAATAATAAATAAAATATTTTAAAAATAGACAACAAGAAGATGAAGTTACTGTATGACTTTTCCGAAGGAGACATGAAAAAATGTGTAATTCCCAAAGATGGGACACTAAAGACAGACCAGAGAAACATTTCCACTGAAGTCTAGCTTGATGAACAAGTGAGTTTGTTGGTGTTACTTTCAGGAGGTGTTACTTTCAGGAGCTTGGTTAACTGAAAGGCCACTGAAATGCCCACTGGGTGACTACTCACGGAAACTCACTGTGTAACATGCAGGCAGCGACACAATGGAAGAGTCTCCTCAAGCAACTGTTTTGTGCTTATATAACTTCTGGAAACCACTTCATGAGCTTTATAACTTTCTGACCTTCCTGTATCTTGTAAGTTTCTTGAGCCTCTCAAGTTTTGTTAGCTTCCCAAATCCTGTGAACACTCTTCTTGCCTCCAGGAAGGAATACTTCATTTGTAGGGAATGGCACAATACTCCACTGTCTCTTGCATTCCCTCCTCTGAAATGTTCCCTGAGCCTTAGAGATAGATGTCTAATGATTACTTTCTTCTACTTGTATTGGAGAATTGGACCAAAGTGCCACAGCAACAGTCACTCTCAGCAGTTTGACTCTTATGAGACTCCAAGAAAAATTCCACCCACTAGAAAAGAAAAAAAAAAAAAACTTCCCCCTATGATAGAGGCTGTTAATAGCAGTAATCTAGGAATGTAAGCACAGATGTTTAGAAGTCACAGCACTTCCAAACATGGGTTCCCTCTTGTGGAGTGGGCCTTTACTCTAACTAGAAAGCAGTTGGTTGCCCATATAACAGTCATGCCACTCTTGCACTAGTGGACACACCTTGCCTGACATGTTGATAATGTGATACACAAGGTCTGTAACCAAACAAGGACTATCAATGAACTCCCCTTGAGGACTTTCTAGCCACTTTTTGGTGCTACAGAAGCCACCCATCAGAGACAGAGCCTCCAGCTCAGTCCTAGCTTAATTTCTTCAGGTCTTGTAGTCAAAGTGTGTGGTACTTTCAGCAATAAAGGAAGCATGCAACTAACAGTAGTGGTTATAGCAGGATGCAGTGTGATAGACAGATGGTAACAAGTCCTGTGGGACATAGGGGTATAGGTACTCTTGCACACAGGGCAGTTAGAGGACATCTTAGTGCTTTAGGTTCCCAGTACTTTTCTTCTGGAACAGAGGGATGCAAGAGAGATGCTGAATTGGTGTTGGGGGCCAGAATGCTCTATGCAGAGGGCCCAGGCAGGACAAAGCTCTAAGGAGGAATATATTATTGTTTTTAAGGGACTCCAGAGGCTGGCACTTACTCTCACAGAAACTCATTTGGTGCCAGGAAGGCTGGAGTTGGTATAGCAGCTCCCCCATGTCATGAAGGATACCGCTTATGCTCTGTCATCATCATCAGCATGTGGTTTTCGGCCACAAGGTCACCTCCTGGTTTAAAAATGGCTGCTGGACCTTTAAATGCCAGCATACTAAATTCCATGCCAACAGAAAGAGAAAACAGAAATGACTTGAACTAAAGGTCTAGGGCCAGTGTCCAGCAGTTATAACAACTTGTCTTGTGCTCAGTAAAGTCTGAGAATCACTGTGCTAGAAAATCTTTTCTTTTGTATCCCAATCAGTAAGGTAACTGAAGAAGTTCACCTTCACCTGTCAGGAGAGCATGGTGAATTGAACTGTCCCCTCCAGGGCTAGTCAGTTCACTTGCTCTCTGTTACATGATGAAGGTCAGGACTTCGGCGTCTTGGCAGCTCATGGAATTTCAAGAGCACCTGTCATATTGATGATACTGTTTATTGAATCTGACAAATTGGCACAAGTAAGCTCTGTAGATGACATATACTAACCAGTGGGGAGAGACTTTTGTGGAAGTTTAGGTACCCCATGTTGTCCTTTCTTGAGTCCTGGCCATCTGGGATGTGATGGGAAATCCCTCATGAGAAGCAATCACTTCATTGTGTCACCTGTGAAGAAGGGAGACAGTGGGAGGTGTCTCTGGATCTTTGGGGTAATGTGTAGAAAGTTTGTGTGAGCTTCTGGCTCATTTGCTGGATACATATGTCATAGGCTTCTGGTATCGAATGGGGCCCAAGGTGGTGAGTGAAGTCTCTAAAGCTTATCATGGCCATGCTGAAGCTACCCTGCCATTTATACCCAAAGTTTCAGAGGTTCTAGAAGAATCTGGCAGTAGGGGATGCTGTCTGAAGCATTCAGACACCCAGTCACAGAGTTGAACCAACTTTAGCATTGGGAGAGAGGCCCATAGCAGGCCCCAGTGAGACACCTGGGGATACATCTGGGGATTTATTCTAACTCATTTCATTTGTGCTGATAACTGGAATGCCACAGACTAGGCAGTTTGAAATGAATGGAAGTGTACTTATCTCATGATTAGGAGGCTAGAAAGTCCAAGATCAAGGAGATGAGACCTGGTCAGGGCCTTCTTACATCACAAATGGGACAGTGTCACATAAGTGAGGAAAAAAAGTGGACCAACTCCCCCTTTTATAATTATCCTATGCTAACAGCTGTAACCCATTCACTGTGCCCCTGTGGCCCAGCCACTTCTCATGAGGCCCCACCCCTGGCACCTTTGCACTAGGGTCAAGTTTCCATTGCCTGGCCTCTGGTGGAGATGTTCAGATTGAAACCCTTCATCTCAATCAAGTTCCCACACAGACCTCACCCATGGAGTCACCGGTGGGTGTGCAGCTGCAGCTTCACTTCTGGGAGACACACTGCTTTTCCAAGGGCCTCATCCCCCAAAAGTGGTGAGTACAAGTGGAGTTTAGAACAGCCTGTGGCAAACCTAGTTTCAGTGGCTGACCTACAGGAAGCAACTCATTTTTCTACTTTATTATATTGTATTATTATTATTATTATTATTTTATTATTATTGTCTTTTTTGAGAAAGGGTCTCTCTGTAGCCCCAGCTGGCCTGGAACTCACTATATAGACCAGGCTAGCCTTGAACTCACAGAGATCCCCCTGCCTCTGCCTCTCGAGTGCTGGGATTAAAGGCATGCACCACCACGCCCAGCCTACTTTATTTTTTTAAAAATTGACACATAAAATTGTACATATTTCTAGCATATCATGATGTTTTGATATGTGTATCTATTGTGCAGTGCCCAGATCCAGGTATCACATAAGTCTTTGTATCACTGCAAACATTGCTTCTTTGTGGTAGAAGCATTCAGCATACTTTCTCCTGGCTCCTTTGAAATATGTAGTATGGTATGGTACAGTAGCAGACCAGAACTTATTTCTCTAACTGTAACAAAGTACCTGGTGATCAGCCTCCCTACCCCGTCTCTGGAAACCACCATTCTGCTCTCAGCCTCCAGGACTCCGCATGTGAGATCACAAGTACTTGTCTTTCTGTGCTTTGCTCATTACCCTGAATGGTCTCCAGTCCCATCCATGTTCTTGTGACAGGACTTAATCCTTTCTATGGATGAACTGGATTCCACTGTGCTTAGGTCCCACATTATCTTCATCCGTTCATCCACTGACGTACACTTCCAGGTTTCCATCTCTCGGGTGGCTGTTGTGAATAGTGCTGTAATCAATATGGGAATGAAGAACCATTTGAAATACTGATTTCATTTCCTTTGGAGATATTCCCAATGTGGGATCATATGGCACTTATAGTCTTCATTTATGAGGAACTTCCATATTGTTTCCAGAATGGCTGTGCTAGCATAGTTTCTTGCCAACAGTGTATGAGTCCTATCACTGCTAAAACCTAATAGCTCACATGGGGAATTGAATTTTCCACCCTTATAACTGCAGGCTTGCTGGGTTGGGAATCTGTGATGACTCAGAAGGAATTCTTCCATCAGCGAGTGTGGTGGGGGTCTGGTATATTGGAAGCTAAGATGGCACTATGCCATTTGGGGTTTACTGTGTAAACCAATGGGTGGGAAAAAGGATCACTGCAGTCAGGTAATTTGTCCCATCACCAAGGAGTGATGGGACTAACTAGTATACCATGGGGGTGAAGGGGACTCCCCCTGAAAGGAGCCAGGGACACACTGGGGTACTTTATATCTCTGGAACCCTACATCTCCATTCTGGAAGTCTAGGGTTCAGCTGCCTAACAAGCTCTGCAGAGATGCTGATACTGCCTGTCCTGGGACGACAGGGAGCAGTGCCCCAGAGCACCTGCTGTTCTCTCCTGAGAGTTCTGAAGTGCTTCCAGTGAGATCTGCGTAGCTTCTTCCTAAAGTTTTTGGGAATGTAGAGCTTCAATTAAGTTAGGGCAAGAATTTAGAGGTAAACTGCTCCTATAGCTGAGGGACTACAGAGGTGGAGGCGGTACAGAGTGAAGACAACTGGTGTCCACCCCAGGCCTGTGACCAGTGCAAGAGGAGGCATGCTAGCCACTCTACCCTATGTTCAGTGTTTTCACTGACACCTAGTGGTGGCTATGCTCCAGTTTAAGTTCCAGGTGAGAGTAGGACACAACTGACATTATCCTAGATGATATGGTGGCCACAGGACTGCTTTCCTTATGTTAGGGACAATTTTGCTTCTCCTAAGCAAATAGATGGTGGGTGTTGCTCAGGCGGACTGTGCTGTTTATTTTTTGGTCACTCCACTGTGCATGTGTACATGGATCATACATACTCAGCGACCTCACCCTTTAGTTTCTGTCATTTTTTGGTTAGCAGGAGACCTAGACAGGGGGATGGAAGGCAGGAGGTAAGAAGTCTCCCCAACTCTTTTCTTGCTGGTCTTCAGTTTTAGAAATGCTTTTTATCTGGTGCTGGGGATTAGACCTAGGATCTCAAGCACCTAGGCAAGTGTCCTACCACTGAGCTATAGTCCAGCCCTTGGCAGAGCTCCTCTTGATTAACTCTGCCATGCAACAGCCCTTGCTGGGACTTGGTCACTCTTTCTTGCTTCTTCAGGCCAAAGTGACTCTGACTTCCCATCACAGCCTGTCTTTGGATATCTGACACTGTGTTTCTCAGAACCTTGACCAACCTTGATGAAGAGTCTTTCATTAATTTAATTAGCTCTGTTAATACTATAAGTGTGGCAGCATCTCTTGCTAGCCACTGATGAGTACAGAGAGTCCTCCCTAGAGGGAGGGTCTTAGCAGATGACTGTCATGGATATATGGAATCAGGGCAGAAGCGGGAGTGGTTGAGGCTGTCTTTCTGAACAGAAAGAACCTGTATGCATGCCAGGATTGACCGAGAGAATTCAGCGTGGGCACTGCTCAGCAGCCTGGTCCATAGGCCACAGAGACCACTATGGATGTTATCCATCCTGCAAGAGAGAACCAGTCCTCAACAGCAAGGCCAACAGGGTAGGGACTCTTGTGGACACTTGGCTTTGTAGTTCTCTCTACATATACTTGAAAGTAGGCCTGATTTCTTTTGGTAGCTTCTGAGATCATGGGATAACTTTGTGAGATGGAAAGACACTGGTTTTTCATTTCGTAAGGACGTGTGGGGCTGGGGGCACAGTTCAGTAGCAGAGCACCCGCCTAGCATGCACAAGGCCCTAAATTCCATTCCCAATACCACAAATCTCCCTAAACCCTATGTGGATATTTGAGCAATAAAGTGACATGGCTCTGATGGAAATTGCTATGCCACACTGGTAAAGCTGGGTCCCATCACTCACATCAGGTCCTGAGCATGCCCTAGGGCCACCTTCTTCCTGGAAACTGTATCTGGAGTTCCTGTTTTTGTATATTTTGCCACCTCACTTGTTTCTGGGACCCCTGGGCCCTTTCTGGATGATATTCCCTCAGTGTCCATTGCACAGCTGTCCTTACTGTTCTAATTACACAGCCACAAAAGGGCTGTGTATGTGCCTTTGCTGAGGGCTTCGGGGACCTTTGCACAGCACATTACTGGCTGCAACTTGAACTTGGCTGCTGGATGCCTTTGTTGGGAGAATCTATCACTTGTCCTCTGCCCTGTGGTTTTCCTTCTGTCTGGCTTGTGCTGACTCTACAGGCATCGTTTTCTTTGCCTTCTCTTCACTGCCTCTCTGCCAACTTCCGATCTTCAGCACTTCCACAATTTCTTTTGCTGGAGTGTTTACCTCTTTATTCACAACCCCAGCCTTTCTCTCAGCTAGCAAAAACTGGTGAGGATGCTTGTGATTCTTTGTTCCCCTTCCCATGGTTAAATGACAGAGATGTGGCCCTCCCTTTCCTTCTTGTGTGTCTCTGAGAGAGAGGGTGCACCATAGATCTGCCTTCTCCCTTCTCTTGTGCAAGCATCAAGCTCAGCACAGCTGCTTTTACCTTTTTTCCCTCTTCGTAAGTGTATAATGGGAAAACAAAAGAAGTATTTCCTAGGAGTCTGCATTGTTAGGTACACGAATGAGAGGGTCCTGTTTCTTCTTATACCTTCAAAATGATTTAAAAGGGGATTTGGGAGTTGGCTCAGGGGGTGAGTTCTTCCTTTGCAAGCGTAAAGACCTGAGTTTGGATCATCAGAACCCATGTAAAAGCTGGGAGGGCACAGTAGCACCCACCTACCATTCTAGTGCTCCTGTGATGAGATGGGCGGTGGAGACAGGAGAGTCCCCAGAAGCTCGCAGGCCAGCTAGCCTGGCATGTGAAGTGGTAAACAAGGGACAAGACCCTGACTCAAACAAGGAAGGTGAGGACCAACACCCAAGGCTGTCCTCTGACCTCTGCATGCACCGTGGCACATGCACACATCCTCACTTACATAATCAAAGTGCACACATCAGAGAGAGAGGAGAGAGAGAGAGAGAGAGAGAGAGAGGAGAGGAGAGAGAGGAACATGAAGACAGAAGCAGCAATGAAAACCTACTTGTAAGGTGATGTTGAATGGGCATATGAAGCGCTACCACTGAAGGTACTTATGGACAAATTCAGCTCGCATAAGGATGAGAATGAGAAAGGAACATGGGGGCCTGGAGAGATGGCTCAGCGGTTAAGAACACTGACTGTTCTTACAGAAGACCCAGGTTTGAATCCCAGCACCTACATAGCAGCTAACAACTGTCCATAACTTTAGTTCCAGGGGATCCGACAACTCTTCTGTCTTCCGCGGGCATTGCACGACACGGGTGCACTTACCTACATACAAGCAATACACACATACAAATTAAAATAATAAAATATTTTTTTAAAAAAGAAAGGAATATGGGGCACAGAATAGAAACCACTGCTGTGTTTCCTTGTTGGAGACTTGACTAAAGGGGTTTTTAAGTTCCCTCTTGTCTGAGCTGTTATTTCCTTTTGCCATTAAAAATAACATGGATATAGAGAATCCAGGCCAGCTGGGGCTATAGGGAGACCCTGTCTCAAAAAGACCCCCCCCCAAAAAAAGGATAAGGTGGGAAATACAAGTGGATCTAGGTGTGGGAAGTTATCTGAGACCAGGGACCCTAGGCAGTGTCTGGGGGGCTCTGGCTAATGTAGGTTCCTGGGCTCCATCTGTAGGTCTGAAGAGGGCCATGATTTGGGATTTCTAGCAAGCTTTTCATGTGCAGGTGCAGTTTGTCCTTCAGGCTCAGTCTGAGGAGCACAGCCTGGGGCATCCTGAGAGCTCTGAAGATCTCCCAGGGAGGCTCTTCAGATCTCCTCTCCTTCCTGCTGCTCTGTCATTAGTAGCTGGATACAAACCCTGATTGACATTGCAAACCCATCCCAAGGTGGGCTTCCCACAGAAGTGCCTGCTGTCTCTGGGGTAGGTTTCCCAGGAATGCTGCCTCTGGGCAGGACGTGATGCCTCAGAGCCCCTGGTTCAGTTCCTTCTGGCCACTTGTCTTTGATAACTCTGTGTGTGTGTGTGTGTGTGTGTTTGTGTGCATCCTACAGATGCACCATTCCCAGAAAAGCCACCTCGACAGCTTCTGTCCACTTCCAGGCCTCACTTACTGGTGACAGTTCTGTGGAAACCCATTCTCCAGGTGACCTGGGGTAGGATGGGAACCTGTGGCTGGGGTGTGGATGATGGAGGAGGCCTGCCTGGGGTCTCCACAGCACAGTTCCCTTTTGATGGGGACTTCAGGCCCTGTCCTGGAAGAATGCAATAGATGCACCTCATATTTGTGAAGAAACTAGTGATAATGCCAATGATGTGAACCAACAGACCCCATATCCCTTATGTCAGGTGTGGGAGAGGTCACTGTGAATGCACCCCACCTCCTCCCCCAGTGGTACTATTGGGAGCTCTGGTCTGTGAGGTTCTGCAGGGAGTGGGGCCCCAGGCTCTACTCATCCCAGCTCAGGTCCTGGATTCTTCTAGGGTGGTAGATACAGGAAAGGACACTCATGTTTGCTTGCCTTCTCCCATTCTATCCCCACAACAGCCTTGTGAGGTAGATGTTACTCCCCCATTTTATAGATGAGGAAACTGGAGCTCAACACATGCTAGGTTATTTATAGGTCATATAACAAGGAAGCAGTGAAGTTGGAGTTGGGAGTTGAAGGGTGGTTTGTGGGCTCTGACCTAGAGTCCTTGCAGCAAGGTCATGTATAGATGTAGGTGATAATGGGTAGAGAAGAGGGAGGACCAGAACACTTCCTCTCCTGTGCTTCCATTCACATGATGGGAATGCAGAAAGGAAGGAAGGAAGGGAACACGGGAGGGAGGGAGGGAGGGAAGGAAGGAGGGAGGAAGGAAGGGAGAAAGGGAAAAAAGGAGGGAGGGAAGGAAAGAGGGGAAAGAGCCATCTTACAATGAGGAAACTGAGGCACCAAGAGGTGAGGTGACTTGCTCAAAGTCACACAGCCTTTGAATGGCTGAAACAAGACTAAAGCCTGGATCCTGCCTGGAGCTCCTGGGCTGTGCAGCTTCAGAAGGTTGCAGGGTGATGTAATTTATGTGAGAAATTTGTGAGAAAGTTAAATATACAACAAAAAGAGACATTGGTCAGTCATGATGTAGACACCAGTATACTCGAAGTCATGGGAAGAGCCACAGCATCTGGAGGCAGAAGGTACTTGTGCTATCGTATGAAGCTATGCAGCATCATGCATATGATATGGATTTGACTAAAAAATTTCCTGTACAAAAGACTGAAAGAAATATATCAAAATGATGGCTTCTGGGAGGCAGGATTACAAGTGCTTGTCACCTCCATTTCCTTCTATTTATATTTTCTCAAGTGTCTAAAATGCACAGTTCATTTTTAACAGGAAGAATATATCCCTACATATTTTAGTTAAAAAAAAACCCAAAACACTGTTTGAAAATAGCTGTGTGCCTTGTGAGAATTTGCAGTGGAGGCTGTTCAAACCTCATTTCACCATTCCTGCCCCTCCACTGCTAGGCCATGGGGAAGTAGCCTGGGCGACCTCCTTGTGCTGTGCATTTGAAGGACAGTATCCTCCTGACTGTTGTCTGCCCAAGGTGTCTGTTCTTGGTTCAATTCCCAAAGATGCATAGGCACCCAGGCGGGAAACCATCACTTTGCAGTTCCATGGTGGAGTCCCAGGCTGGATCCCAGTCCGCAATCTTGACCCAGTGCTCTTCTCCCTAGGCTGTCCCAGGTTTCTGCTGCCCAGACATCTGGGCATTTCCTTCTGGCAGCCATGGTGGAGCTGGTAAGGTAAAGGTGAGCCTTCTCTATCTTCGAGGGACCACAGCCATTCCCTGCTTCCGAGCACTTGCAGGCTGGTGACCAGGGGATGTAGATGTGCATGCTGGGGCACCATGGCCTTCCCCGTGCCTCAGTCATCCAGGTGCTGCTCCTCCCAGGTAGATGTGGGGATAGCACTGTAGGGGTCCATGATAACCTTGGCACAGCGGATGATCATGACCACGAGGAAGAGGCAGAGGAAGACAAAGCAAGCCAAGGTCAGTCCCTTGTCCACGTCCACATAGACAGGCTCGGGGGTAGGTTCCTCCATCTTGGGGCAGTGACTGTGAGCTCCAGGGGTTCCGGCCTGACTGGTACCATTTTCCACCCCTGTAGAGAGAACCAGTCAGTGAGGAAGTCAGGGCCACTTGTCTGGGGGCGGTGGGAAGTTTACCAACCCCTATCCCTCTTTATCCAACCCCAAGAGCAGGAGTTTACTGCTCAGGGCACCCATCTTAGGGCCACCTCATGATTACAGCCCTAGACCTTGCAGCCAATCCATATTTCCAGCAGGGTGCATCCCTGGGTAGGGCAGCAGTGGTGATAGTGACTCTTAGCAAGACAGGTGGAGTGGGCTGAGGGAGCAGCTTGGGGTCCATGCCCTATAGCTGCCTCCACTCCTCAAGCCCTTCAGGAAGACATGAGGGAGATACTCTGCTCTCAGCCAATCCACTGGCTAAGCATGCTCAAAACATTTTAAAAAGTAGGTGGTGAAGATTTTTTTTTAATTCAACAGAACCTGGGTTTCTAAAGAAACCGAATGCTGAACACAGGACAGGCAAGAAGAGCCACTGCAGTGGTGAGGCGGACGCAGAAGGACCACATCCTGGTTCCCTCTACAGCTTCCAGAAACTCTGCAGGGCTTGTGCTGGGGCTTATCACACCTGGAAAGGTGCAGGTGTGACGGGAGGTGCTGTTGGAGCAGTTAGGCAGGCCCTAGCCCAGTTCTGCTGCTGCAGCAGGTCTGAGGAGCATCACTCAAACATTTGGGGGTGATTTGCTGACTTTCCAGACCAGTGCTCTTCCTCCTAAGTGCAGGAGAGTAGACCTGCTTCATAGGCACATGTGCATGAAATGCAATCAGTCCTGCATGAGAAAATCCAGCACAGTCCTTAGCCTTCAGGGGCTGGCCAGGCAGCAAAATGGTGGACTGACATGGGTCTGGGGCAGGCAAGGAGGGGACAGGTCTGCTGCAGGGGCAGAGAGCTTAAGGATGAAGGGACACCCTGCTTTCTACACAAGCTTTTTGTAAATGTGGAAGCTGAGTCACAGAGCAGGGAAATGCCTTAGCCAAGGCCTCACACCCAACCTTGAAGCAGCCTCGTTTCCCTTTAGAACTTGTGTCTGTCCTCTCCCACCCCTCGGACACACCTGCCAGCTGGAGAGGTCACCACTTCAGGAGGACCTGGGGCTGAGCCGTTTCAGGAACGAAGGCAGAGGGCTGAACAGCTTGAGCCAATGAGACATTGTGCATCTTAGAGAGCAGTGTGCTGGGGGCTAGAACAGAAGGACAGAGGACTGGTTATTCTGGAGACTTCGGCCCCAATGGTGACCATGACTGCACAGGCAGGAAGGGCACCCTGAAGCCCCTGTATACTTCCTGGGCTCATGCTGGACTTTTCCCTTCTCTACTTTCTTTTTTAGAAAATTTCATTTTTTAGGTGTAGTGGCACACGCCTTTAATCCTACCACTTGGGAAGCAAGAAGCAGGTGGATCTCTGTGAGTTCAAGGCCAGCCTGGTCTATATAGTGAGTTTCAGGCCAGCTGAGGCTACAGGGAGACCCTGTCTCAAAAAAAGACAAATTAATTAATTAATTAATTAATTTGATTTTTAAAAATTAGCCTACAAAGATGGGTTTCATTATGGCATTTTCATACATACTTTGCTTTTGTGATCTTTTCTCCTTCCCCCACCCCTCAAACCCCTGTTCTTGAGCACTATGGTCCCCTCTGGCTTCACGTCACTTTTATTCTCTTACCCTCTTTTCCTTCCCCTCCCTAATCCTCCCTTATGATTTCTTTTTCCCCTTTCTAGTTTCATGAGCTACGTTCATATCCCTCTATATATCTGTACATATGTGAAAATAAGTGTAGGACTCTCATATGAGAGAAAACAGGTAGTATTTGTCTTTCTGCATCTGTGATACATCACTTTACAATGATTTCCAGTTGTGTCCATTTTCCTGCCAAATTAATGACTAATGTTTCTTTATGGCTGAACCAAATCCCATTGTGTATGTGCCATGTTTCCTTCATCCACTCGCTTGCTGATGGACATGTACACAGGCTGATTTCGTGCCTTAGCTACTGTGAATAGTGCAACAGTGAACATGGGTGTGCAAGTGTCTCTGTGGTATGTGGTTGACTTTGAGCCCTTCGGGGTTATACCCAGGACTCTTTATTTCTGCCAAGTTTGGGGGAAATGTTTTTGAGAAAATGTTTTTCTCAACATTCTCAAAATTATAGAAGTTGAAAAGATTGCAACATACATAGTTATCCACCCATCTATCCTCCTTATTTTTGAATGCGTTTTGTAAGATACAGATATAGGGACCCTTCACCCTCAGAGCACTGCAGCATGCATAGCAATAGCTAGACTTCGACACTGGTTTATTTTCTAGCTTCTTTCTTATTCTATTATTGTTTGTTTGGAGAGAGAGAGACAGAGAGACAGAGAGAGAGACAGAGAGAGAGAATATGATATACATGTGCTATGACTCACACGTAGTGAGATCAGAGGACAACTTGTGGGAGTCAGTTCTCTCCTTCCACCATGTAGGTTCTGGGGATCAACCTCAGATCATCAGGTTCAGCAGCAAGCACCTTTACCCACTGAGCCATCTCACCAGCCCTGTTTATAATTCCTTAAAGGGGAAATTTACATAGGGTGAAACACACAAATATGCATCTTTTTGTTCTTGTTTTGTTTTTCAGAAACAGGCTTTTGCTCTAGCCCAGACTGGTCTGTGGCTATGTACGTAGCACAGTCCTCTTACCTCAACCTCTCAAGTGCACCACCACACAGGGCCATGATGTGTGTGACAGATGCGTACACCCTTGTAACTCTCAGAGTGTATTTAGTTTTCATTTCTCACTGTGAATGCAGTTAAATAACTTTCTGTAAGTTTAAGCTCCACTGCGTTTCTCTTTGTGTGAGGTCAATACCATTTATCTACTTTTCAAGTTCTATCTTATACTTTTGTTGTTGTTTTGCAGTGATGGGATCAGATCTTCGGCTTTGTTTAAAATTATTTTATTTATTATTTTTATTTTTTATGTGAAGGAGTGTATTGCCTGCATGTATGTGAGCACACCCGTGTTGTGCAATGCCACGGAGGTCAGAAGAGGGCTTCGGATTTCCCTGGAACTGGAGGTAAGGTCGGTTCGTAGCTGCCATGTGGGTGCTGGGAATCGAACCCAGGTTCTCTGCAAGAGCTGTCAGTGCTCTTAACCACCTCTCCACCCCAGACCTTCAGCTTTGTACACACTAGGCAAGCACGCTACCGCTGAGTCACATTCCCAGCCTCTTTCTACTAGATCTGTTTTTAATTTTAAGTAATTAATTATTTATTTATGGTGTGCATGTGTTTTGCATGTGCATGTCAGGGCATGCCTGTGGAGGAGTCAGTTCTCTCCTACCACGTGGGGCCCAGGAATTGATCTTGTCCTTTCCTGCCCAGCCATCCCATCGGCTGTTTTTCTACAAGATTTTTCATTGCTCTCCTTCTGGACTTGGAAGTAGAGTTACAATAAGCATATTCATTTCATTAGTTTGATATTTATTTGTGTTTCTTCCTTTATCCTGATTCCTCTTGTCTCTCCACTGCCCAGCTTTGGTCATTGGCATTAGCTTCTCTTATTTACTTTTACTTTTCAATAATAATTCTGATATGTAGATTTTCTGCAGGTCTGCTTCTACTGTTTATTTCTTCATTTGGTCCTTTTTTAAAAACATACTTGATGCAAATTCCCATGGACTACTGAACACGGATGTGAATCACTGCAGGACTCTGGGTGTTCTCATGCACATAGGGCTCCCTTTCCCTCTGCGATGCCCCTGGGGTGAGGCAGAGCATCTTAACCCGGTGGAGCCAACTCCTGGGTCTCCCTCATTGCAAACAAGCCCAGTGTCTACCTCTGGTTTGACTATATAGTTCCGTATGTTGTTCACCATAGTTCCATGTTGGGAATCAGGAGTACGTCCTTGAATTTTTTTCCTTCTTAGCTTGTCTTGAATTCTGGGTTTTTTGTTTTGTTTTGTTTTGTTTTGTTTTACTCAGTGCCTTGAGACAAAACTGGGAAGAGGGTTCAGGGCCATGCCACAGCTGGGGTTTGATCTGTGCAGTGGGAGGATAAACACGACACCTAAGAGTTTTGGTTATCTACTAATAGTAATATCTTCTACTGATTGTCTGGCCATGCTAATGAGAAGAAAATGTATGTCTGGTCAAAAATTCACTGCTCTTTTGTTGGGATTTTTAAAAACTATTTTAACTGACACAATAACTGTGCATGGAATTACTGTGCTATTTTGATATGTGTATCTAATGTGCGGTGTCCAATCAAAGTGATTCATGTATTCATCATCTCCAGCATCACTGCCTTGAGTTGGAAATAGCTGAAATAACTTCTAGTGATTTTGAAATATACAATGACTAATGACAATTGCAGTCACAATACTGTGCTACAGAACACTAGAACTTACTCCTATTTAAGTATATTTTTGCTCCCCATAACCAACTTGTCTGGCAACCCCTCCTCTACTCCCTTCTCTTATGTGCTCAGCTTACTTAGCTTTCACCTATGAGGAGAAAAGTATACTATTTGCCTTTTTATACTTGTATTATTTCACTTAGTATAACCTTCTACAGTTTCATTCATTTTGTTAAAAGTGACAAGATCTTTCTTTAGGGCTTAATAGTATTCCATTGTGTGCATATACTACATTTTCTTTTTTATATGCCAATAGACACCTAAACTGATTACTCTGGGATTTTGAAAAAAATTGTTCATGGAAGCATCGTTGTAATGGTGAGAATCAGGGAACAGAATTAATTTTTGTCAATTATGGAATGGTCAAGATAGTCATGGCATATCTATGTCATAGAATATTCTAAGGCAGTTAAAAGAAAACATGCACATGCACATACATACAAAAGAAGGTGAGGATAGCTTGTTAAGTGAAAGAGTAAGTTGAGGAACCAATGTGACATGCCATTCATATAAAACCAAAAGGAACCTTGCATTTCTGTATGCGCCTATGCTTGTGGGAGACCTGGTTGTTCTCGGTGTGAGGTCAAGACCTGTTCCAGCCTTGATTGCTTTATTGTTTGAGAAATTTAAGAATAAGAAAAGCAAATAACACAGAAGACACCCACATCTATGGTGTAGAATTTGCAGTTACTATGGGATCGTATTTGCTTTGTCTTTTCTTTTTAAAGAAACGAACCCTCGTGTTGTAACTCCCAACCTTCAGAAACTCTCCCCTCACTATTGTGAGTGTGGCGTGCATGTTTTCCAGAGCCCCCAGTATTCCTTGCACTATACTTTGAAAACAGGATCTAGCTCAGCTCCCTCCATTTCACAAAGGAAGATATTTGGTGGAGGGAGAGGAAGGGCTTGTTTGCTTGGGGTCTCAAAGTAATATCTGGACTTGGGGCATCCTGTGATTCTGCCACCTCTCTCCAGGCTTCAGGCCCTGCAGCATGGCCTCTACTTGGTCACTGAGTGACTCTCAGGGACAGACAGGACTCAGTTGTCTGGTTTCTCAAGTGCTAACTCTGATTGATGTTCTCTGCACAATCTGTCTCAAGTTAGCCTCAGATCAGATACTTTGTACATTAAAGGGGTCAGACCTCAGCAGGATCACCTTATGACCCTCCCCTGTCTTGTCTGGCTTTAGATCCCAGGGATGTACTCCCCGGGAAGATGATCAGCAACTCCTGATCCTTCCAGCGGGGCCAATGCCGAACATGTGACCTCAAAGAGCAGATTCCCCTGCTACCCACCAGATGGGGGAATGCTCATTAACCTTAATTACTGGGAGGGCACAAGTCCCATCTAGCTCTGTTTCAAAGTAAGGACATGACACCCAGGAGGGAACTCAACACAGAGTTCAGATGCTGTTCCCTGTGAGCTGAGGTGCCAGCTCACTCACCAGATCAATGGTCCTCAACATAATCACACCCTCTTTCAGCACTGAGCTGGCCTAAGCAAGATGTTACATCTTTCACCCTCCTGGGGCAGCTGAATGTAGATGTTTCAGAGTTGGAGATTCTGGCCATGTGAGCAAATGGCGCTTAGGAGAAGTGGCTTCTGGGTTGACCTTGCAGACTAGTAAAAGCCTATAATTTCACGGTTGGGTGTCGATAACCTAAGTAGAAAACAGTCTTGCCAAATGCTGTGAAAAGCCAGAGGGAAAAATGAATCCAAACATAGGGCCTGGGAGCAAGTTCTGAGTCAGATTTGTAGAAAACCTAGGAAAAAGGTGGTCACA